TGCTCGACAAATCTTCTTCCTTATCCATACCTGGAACGCGAACTTTTTCATTTATTCGGAAACAGAAATGGCTTAAAATTATAATAGTACATGTGAACCACTGACCCCTGGCTGGGGACTAAAAGCTCCTTGGCTTTTCTGATTTCTTGCCTTTGCTTTTCTCTTTGCGCTGAAATAGAATCGACCTAGAGATGAAGCCCAACGAGTACGCAGGCGAGACGCCCAACTCAGCCAACAACAATGCAATCCCCCGCATCAAGAAGCAAATGAGTATGTCGGCCCGAATAGGACCGGATGGGATCCCCATTTTTAAGCAGGTGCCTACCATTGAAGAGGAAGAGGAGGAGGTCAAGGGTGCAGCTAAATGGCGACATAAGTGCACCAACTATCTGCTCTGTAGATGCTCGAAGCGTTTCTACACTGCATGGATGTGCTGTTTCGGCTTCATGATCACCTTCGGCATCCGCTGCAATATCGGTTGGGTTACGTTGCAGATGCGAAATAACACACATCCGGCGGCCGCTGAAATCCCCAAGGCTATCGAAATTGCCAACGTCAGTACGGTGAGTTATCTGCACTCATTTCCAGCTCCTAGTGGCATTCCCAAACTCCAGAAGGGAGGTTGACAATGTCTAACGGCAGAAAAACCCAACATCTACCTAGTCCAGAAATGTGTTCTTTCCTTTCAGGACGTTATACGTTGTTCAGGATATGTGTGTTTCCCAGGGGGACAGAATACCAGCAGACCGAGACACTGAACATTGCCAATTCTGACAATTAATGATGCAGGCCCGTTTCTTGTTTCTGGGTGTCAGCGATAACTGCTTACAATTCATTGGCATGGTAACCGTCCTAACAGGAAAAACAAAATAGTCTTTTCTCAATAACAAAACTAAGTGATTGACAAGGGATGCAGTCTCAGCATAATACTTGTGAGTTAGGGCAAATGTTTTCGCAAAATTAATCGTGGCCCACCTCTGATAACAAAATTGGTTTCAGGGCTTTAATCATGCTCTACAAATAGGAAAATAACATTTTTTGCTCCTTTGCCATTGCCAATGTACCTGCTTCCAAATCATGAAAAGTGTTTCGAACTGCTTGGGTTTCACGAGTAGGCTATTGGTTTTGAATGGGAATTAAATTAAATGTCTTCTAGAATAAAAACAGTACCAGTTTCAACTCACATCAGCTAAAAATCCTACCCGCCGATTTTAACATGCAGACATTCTGGAGATTCCCTTGGACCTGCCTGAAAGTAATATAACATTTAATAACATGGAAAATGTTTCCATGAAATAAATGTTGAATTAAGAGGACCCAGAGAGGTTTGCACAGCAACTTTAATAGAACGCTGAAACATACTGAGCCCGGTTGGCTTCGCAAGACAGGGCGGAGAGAAAATTAACTAAGTTGTACAACTGAGAAGCAATAGTTCAGATAGGGGCAGTGAAAATACGTTTTGCAGCAACCAACATTTACTATGCGGTTTGCTGGATTTTCATAGGTAACCTCATCTTACTGTTCCCAATCGAAGAAACTGCCCGCTTTTACCCCATGCAAACGAATGTCTAAATTCATAAATTCAGCTAGACACATTGTTTTCAGGGGAGAAATTTGAACAAGATTAAGATTAAGATATTAACAGAATTTATTGAAGTTATATAATTTCATGACCTCTTACTCAACTGCAAATGGTCACTGCCTATTAATAAGATAAAGTAACTGTTCAATTAATTGCCGACCTAGAGGGGTGAAGCTTCAGCTCAGGGCGAAAAAAAAATACCTAAGAGTTCAATCACGAAGTACCCATTGGACACTGGCCATACGGTCGACTAAAAGACTGCACCTTAGGTCATACTTCGGGCGACGACTGGGCGTCTCCAACAATTTGCGGAGGCCGCTGCAATACGGAGAAGAAAACCTAAACTCTGTAAGCAGCTGGATCATGGGATCAACCAGTCATTGTCGTGTTAATGATCGATAAACTGATTCTCTCTCACGCCTCCTCGCCCCCCTTAGGACTTACTGTTACCCCGTCCTCTGCTCCTCCTTTAACCATTTTTCACAGGCTTTCATGAACATGAACTTCCATGCTGTAACAACTACCTCCCCCTCCCTCTATTTCTTTTTCATACGCCCGCATCTAAGACTAAAAGCTTATACTCTATGTTATAGTACTCCGGCAAAGAAAAGCACCCTAAGATAGCTATTTTTAGCTTTATTGGCCATCGTCAGCTAGGGGTAGCTAACTCTAAACTAAACTCTAAAGCTAAACTCTAAACTCTGAAATTACTACCATACTCGAGTTTCGAACTCGCGTCTCGCCGGTCAGAGTTAACGTCCAAGCTATTGAGCCACGAGTTTGCTGTCTTGCCGGTTGTTGATCGGGAGTATATAGTAGTTAACTGTACACCGACCTGTCTTTCAGGACGCCATATAATTTCGCAACATCTTATTCAACTACAAACGGTTATCGAGTGTCGACCTAGAGTGGTGAAACTCCATAGGTAAACAGAGTATAAGCTAGTAGCTAATTGTACATCGGTCTGTCTGTCTGTCTGTCTGTCTGTTAGGATGGTATACAATTAACTACTAGCTTATACCCTGCTTACCTATGGAGTTTCACTACTCTATGTCGACACTCAATAACCGTTTGTAGTTGAATAAGATGTCGCGAAATTATATGGCGTCAATAGATTCTGTTTATTTCATGATCTTTGCCTTGTTCACAGTTAGATACATTAACTAAGGGGAACCCTCTGGAACAAGAGTTTTATTTGCCTGACGTTTCGGATTCCGTCGGGAATCCTTAATCATAGGTGATGGTAACACAGTCACAGTCACAGTCATGAGCAGATAGAATTGAGACATGCACAGGTTACGCGTTATTTATAGAAAATAACGTCAGCTCCGGCTCCTAAAGCTCTGCCTCAAAACGTACTTTACCTTCAACGGAACTATCTACGAGCAGGTGAAGGACACGCCAATGGGTTCGCCCATTTCCGGACTCACAGCAGAGGCGGTCCTGCAACGGTTGGAGTCGCGGATTTTCCAACACCATAGACCGAAATTCTGGGCTTGGTATGTGCACGAAACCTTCGTCATAATTGAGCGGCATCAGGTGCTGACATTCAAGAAACGTCTAAACGCCGTCTTCCCGGACATTTAATTTACGATGGAGGAAGAACAGAACAACCAACTGGCCTTTCTGGATGTCCTCGTTTGCCGCAAAGATGCTGGTGCTCTAAAAACGAAAGTGTTCAGGAAAGCAACCAATACTATGCAAGTCCTGAACTACAGCAGCAACCACCCAATTGGCCACAAACGCAGCTGCGTAAGAGCGCTTTACCGGCACGTTTAGACGCATTGCAGCGAAGTGGAAGACAATGTTGCGGAATTACAACATCTTCGACGGGTACTTAGAGCGAATGGATACCCGCGCAATTTTGTTAACAAATGCATTCGCAAACGAGAGCAGAAGCCACATCCAACTGGCGCAAATGTTTGGCGAGCTCTTCCGTACGTGAAGAATGTGTCGGAAGCGGTCAGCCG